CTCTTTTTTCACACAAATGTTGACAGAATCAGATGCTTAAATTCAACCCAAATCTGTGTAATTCTAAAATTCTTCTAAACAAATTTAGGTTAGTGAAAATTTTCAATCAAAAAACCAAAAATTTTACCTGTAAGTTCTGGCCGGACCATCACCGGAGAAACAGATCCGACTACTCATAGGCATTTGCTCAATAGTGAACTGAGAATATTCCTTTAAAGATTCCATCACCGTTGAAATAGTATTCTTCGCCGGAACATAGATAAACTCATCAACATCGAAGAAGAAAATCCACTTCGCCATAAATCTATACCTATGCAAACAATCATTCACCACCATGAATTGATTATGATAATACCCATCGAATCTTTCTTGATCTCTAATATCATGCACAGTCACTCTTCCAAGCTCAATCCATGGCCGTAAAACCTCGAACACTTCCTCTCCGATTCCTCCTGCGTCGTGAAGAACGAAATGAGATCTCTCACCGAAGAATCGAACGTGGTAAGCGATCCATTCTCTAACTCGTTGTGGACTCAAGTTCCCGTACAGAGACGAACCACAATAGAGATAATCGTACTTTTCGCGGCGGCGACTTGAATCGTCGTAGAGATTGAAATCGACGGAGTTTTGGGTTTCGGTTAAGACCGGGATTGAATCGGTGATGTTCCGATCTGTGTCTCCGGTGGTTGCGTGAAGAAGAAGAGTACCACCGGAGTTTTTAGGGTTTATGATTGTCGCCGGAAAAGTACAGTTAACGACGATGGTTGTGTAAACACGACCGTAACCCCAATCGGTTAAGATTTTAGTACCGTCGGTTAAAATCCGGTTATCGGATTGGTTTAATGGTACCCACTCACAACGGTAAGACGGATGTGCATAAACGTGAAGTGGTTTAGAGGATAAACCGATAACGGCGAAAGTGTTAACGCCGCCTCTGTAAGCGTTCATTAACACGAAGTTATAAGCTGCCCAGCCGTGACCAGTAAACGTCCGTTTGATAACGCCGTTAACGAACCCCTCCTTGTCGTTTAACGGCGGTTTTGTCTCGCCGTTTTCTGGTTTTGTAACGCCGTTGTCTGATTCCGGTGGATTTTGTACGAC